AGGGGGAACCACTTTTTTTTTTTTTAAGGGGGTTTTTTTTTTTTTTTTTGTTTTTTTTTTTTTTTTTTTTTTTTTCCCCCTGCTGGCTGCTTCCCATCTGAGCCAGAATTGGAGTGCGAACAAAGTTTGTGCTGCTGGCAGATTGTTTCAACTCTTTTTCCCTCCCTACCCCCCGGTCACCACCTCCTCCCTGCAAAGAGGAACGAATGTTTCTGGTTATTTCCCTCTGCATTGGGGAGCTGTTATAAAGACAACTCTGCTTTTCCCCATGATTGTTTCAGAAGCTGAAGCAATGCATTGCATGGGTGTTTCAGTCCAGCCATCTTTCTTTCTGTGCAATTAGGTATCATCAGAAATGGAAAAATGTGACATTGTGGCAGAATTAGGCCGTAGATGTAGACTTGGATCAGGTAAGATCAGGGTGAGCCACTTACCTGGCTCAGCAAGCTGCTTGCCAAAATATCCGTATGACCAGGAGCCACAGGTCCCGTATGCCTCTTGGAGCATCCTCTGAGAAGGTGGCCTGGCCGCCTGGGTAGAAGAGAGCCAACAAACACATCCTGGTGCATGCAGGACAGGGACAGGGAAGAAGAAGGGAGGTAGGCTTGGAAGCGGTTGAGTTGCACAATGAGTCAGTCATTTTAAGTCAACAACTCGCCTTGTAGAACATAAGGAAATAAAAATGTATCCATTGTTTTTTTGTTTTGTTTTGTTTTTTTTCCTCTTTGCTTCTCAGTTTGACAGGCTGCCAGGGATCCCATGCAGAGATCGATGCTTTCCTCCCATTTACACAATTCCTCAGGCTAGGAGCTATGGGAGTGTCCCGTCACCAGCATACACGTTCTTGCTTCTCTTTTTAGATGAGCCTGGCACTTCTTCTGCATAGTGCACTCGTCTCTCGTGGAAAGGTGGCTTTGCTCTCTTGGGTTTTGTGTCCTTGTTAACTTTGGGGGGCCCCTTTCTGCTCATAGTTCGTGGTTCCTGCAGGGAGGTAGCTAATGTGGGAAATGCCTCTACTGACAGTGGCTTTGTCATTGACTGCATTTCTGTAAGAAAGGAGGGATACTGGAAATAAAATCGTTCCATTCTGTTCCTTTTCTCCCCTGTCACCGTTGTTTGCTGTCTGTCAGGAAACATTTGCCTTGTGGTCTGAAAGGCACTGATTCAGGACAACTGTACTCTATACCCAGCTTTGGCTTGTTGCCGCCCTGCTAAATTACTCAGCTTCCGTTTTCCCCATCCGTAAAGTGAAACTAAAAGCCTTTTGTTACATCCTGGTGACCAAATAGCATCTGACACCTATATAATGTCTTTCGACCAATGCTTCTGAAGTTATTTTAACTGACCGTGACATGAGATCTATACCAATCGGTTGCAGAAGTACTTAGTGCTCTGTGAGTGGGGTTGTTGGGGGTTTTTTTGTGCCGTGCCGGAGTGATCCCTGGTGAACAGGAGTTTTCCCTAGCAATGGGCCGCAGGGCTGCTAAAGGCTTTTCGTTTTGGTAATGAACTGCAGTTGCTGTTACCTGACGAGCACCGTATTTGTCCTCTTCAGCATTTTTATAAATGCTGGCACCGATTCCTTCACTAACTTCAGGTTGGGATGTTGGTTGATACAGTCAGAATTTGGACGGAGAAGCCTCGGTGGTGGGATTGTATGAGTGGAGCTTGGGGCAACATCTGGCCAGAGGCTGGAGCTCTGCGAACGGTCCCGCCAGTGATGG